CTTTTGCATGGATGAGTTTCACCTCATCAGCTCCACATAAACCCTATGACATTGAAGCTGTCCTGGAAGATCGTGATAACTCAACACCTTCCAAAGACACTTTATGTTGCTTTTGCCTTTAATTTGTCCCCCATTAATTTTTTTGTCATAAACTAAAGTGGGAATGCGAAGTAACCTGAGTCAGTCTGAGTCATCCTCTACGGCTATGAATGTATGCACCTAATTATTACGATGCTTTACTCTGGACCAAGAGCTGGACAAACAGTGGATTCACTCCGAGTGCGACTAAGAGCTAAGATTAGGTTTTCACTCAGAGAAGGGAAACACCGTGCAATACCCAATCAACGCCCACCAGACGGACTCCTCACAGCCATAATAACTCTTACAACTACAGCAGACATCAAAGATTTAGTGTATCTCAAGAACACAGTTTTAAGATATCTAGGACACATTCAAGCACGCTGCCGCACAGACCTCTGCAGCTAATATCTTGCTCTCCCAGAGAAGGAAACGGATGAGCATTGTTTGAAGCCTCTGTGCATGTGTCTTTGTGCGTGTGCGTTGGCTGTAATCGGTTGTTATTGGGTCTCCCTCGCTGTGTGTTTCCACTCCCACTCCCATTCGTTTCCCCTCTCCTTCCAGCTCATCTCATCCTTCTCACACTTACTGTCTTGTGTAACTCATGCAAGACTCTTTCTGCTCCACAGAATCATTTCATGCATTTTTCACTCCGGCTCTGTCACTGTGGTGTGTTCAAATGCTGTTTTACATTAGTACTCAAATGCGCGCGCACACAGAAATGCATTCCCCCTCTGTTATCGGTTGAGGATGGGTATCTAGGCCAAACATTATTATCAGTGTGTGGTGGGCGCCCCTTGGGTGTGTTACCATGGTGACCATCACATAACATTATATACAGGGAAGTGTTTTATTCCGTGGCATTGTCACGAACGCGCGCACACACACACATACACTGTGGGAATTCGATTACAAATCAATAATCCTGATCAATCATTTAAATTGCTATGACAACCACCTGAGGGCACAAAGCACAGATGTACATACTGTACATGCACACATGGGCAGAAACACATGAGCAGTGTGACACTGAACCCGCCTGCTTCTTAACCGGAGTAGTGGTACATGAAGAGGTCAACGGAGCACGCACACACACACCCGTTGCATGGTCAGCGGTGTCGGTGTCAACTTCTTAAAGTTTCAGTTTTCAGAGCAGGGTGACAAAGGAGACAGTAATTATGTGTCTCTGTTGACTGTAAATCCGTCTGTTCCACCGCTCAGTCTTCAACTTAGCGTTTATGTGCAGCGTCGTTCTCAGCTGAGGTTTAGACGACAATAAAAGACTCACTGGGTGAAAAACAATCAAAGACTCATTTTCAATCCAACATGAATCAAGGACAGAGAGAGACAACAACATTAAATTGCACGTAAGACGAACCACGTTTAAATTTGAAGATAAGGCAAATACAGAAAGTAAGGGTGTAGGGGAAGAGGACGTAAATATAATGACATTGCAAATACATATTATAAACACATATTGAAGTTCCTGGAACATCTAATAGTGATGATAAATGTAAGATATATATATATATATATGTATAAGGGACTGGTGTCTGGAAAACTGGGTGACAATACTGATATTCTGTGGATATGATAAAGCAGTTCTGGCATAATTAATCGAAAAAGAAGTTTTTACACACGCGCTGATTAAAATTAAATGACACCAGAGCCAAAGAAAAAAAGAAAAAAAAAAGGTCTGGGAAACATGAATTCTAAGGGACATTGTTGAAATATGTATAGCTTATGTTTTCAGCTAGCGATGGCTCTGGGCATGGCAGCTGCTCCGTCACTTTGGTCCTCAAATGTCTCAACAAACTACCAAATAAATTACCCGGAAATTTGGCACGAGCGTTCAGGTCCCGATGCCTGTTCAATGCTGAAACACACTGAGACGGTGGAAATGATGCGTATTATTCCTGCAACACATCATCATCATCATCATCATCATCATGTTGTGGTGAGCACATCAGCATGCTGACATTAGCATTCAGCTCCAGGCTCTCAGAGCTGCTAGCGTGGCTGCAGACTCTGTCTCATTGAAATTACAGTTAACGGCCTATTACCTTGTCACAACCAATGCAGTCCAATACAGCAGTCCTGCAGGAAATTCACCAAGTTGATAATGTTGGGAGTTTCAGTTGTTTTCGAGAGGCACTGATCAACTTTATGGTTCTTTTGGAAGATTGTGAGGCTTAAATGTTGTCCATCTTTAGTTCTATAAATGGTGCCAGCTTTTTTTTTTTTTTAACCCTCCTATTATCTTTAGGCTCAATTTGACCCCATTCAGTGTTTAACATCTCTAGTCACTGACATAGTTTTTTCAGTTTTATTTACACATAAACTTGGGTAACAATTCTAATTTGGAGGTTTAAATTGCTGGGACCAAATTGAACCCAAGGATAAAGGATGTCAGTAAATTTGAAGATAACAGGAGGGTTTATCGTATGTTAGCAACACTGTGATAACTGACAGGGTGACAGTGGTGCCGTGAGAAGATTCTGGGTTTGAACTTGTTAGCTCTCTCTGGGCCTGTTTGGATTTTTTCTCAGTGCTTCGGGTTCCTCCCACAGTCCACATAAATGAACAGGAGGTCAACTGGTGATTCAAACAGTACATAGTCCACGTTCTATGTTACCTCCTGGTCTTGTTCCTCACACCTGTTCCCGTACACAGAGAGCATTCCACCGATACGATGCATTAGAAGAATATTTCCACTGTATTTTCTAAGCTGTGACGTCAAACGTTGCTTTTCCGTAGAGTATACAGCTCCTATATCTCTATATGCAGACAGCGTGCTTTTCATGCATTTGTAATCGCAGCACGACAATGTAAAAGTTTAATTAAGAGCTCTTGGTTGTTTTTTTTTTCTCTTTCCGGCACCATAAGCTGCTCGAGCTCAGGTGTTTTGCTGCGTTATATTTGGAGGGATTGTATCACACTGCAACATTACTGACTCATCCTTTTTTATTAGTTCCAGGAATCATAGGAATCTGTCAGACAACACATTTCTACTCTCTCTGTTGCTACCTCCTGCATTTTTTTTGTATCCTGTTTGTAAGCATAAATGCACACCGGTCCATAGAAATGCATGGGCAATCAAGCAGAACATAGCCAGCATCTTCCTTCAGACGTTACATTTATGACAAAAGATAAGACGGAGTTTGGTTGTAAGCCCGTCAGCGGAGAAAGATCTTTTCTGTCAATCGGCAGCACTGAAGTTGCTTAGCAACCTTTGGCCTTGATGGCAGGAAATGATGTCATGCTTATGAGACAAAACACAGGCAGACGCACAAGTACACAGATAACAGGTGCACACGAGCGCACACACAGGATGGCGGATGAGAGGAATAATGAGTAGTGATGATAATCTGGGCAGGGGTTAAAACAATATATTAATCTTCTCTAATGGTATCACTGATCTCTGAGTCCATTAAGGATGACCTTATGTATTTACTTGCACTCATACACTCACACACACATTTACACACACACACAGTTGCATGGACTAAGCTGAGAATGCGCTTTTACGTGCTGCCGTTTGAGGAAAACTACATCTGCTCCTCTCTTCCTCGGTGTTCTTTCAACCCGTCTGTGAACCCGTCTCCAGCCTTCAGCCTGTTTTCTCTGTGATCATGCAGTCACGCCATCCTTCCGACGAGGTACACACAACGACACACACACACACACTCACGCACAATGAAGCTTATTGCTGTGTGCTCTGGGAGGGAGAGGGAGGTAGTGACATGTGGAGTTGTATTTTGGAGCTGAGGCCTATGAGAGAAGATTTTTTTTTTTATTATTGTTAATCAGTTTCCCTCCCAGACTCAAAGTTGCAGGACTTAGAGCGCCACACAGTGTTCGGTCGGGCTCACTGCACATTTCCTGTCGGGACACTTTGCTTTAATAATTCATGTTTGTAAGGGAATGAGCTGCCAAAGGCCCTGAAAGTCACGATTGTGTCTGAGATGCTGCCTGATGCATATTCCATCCTCTCTGACTAATCCAGTTGTTTTCCAAATACATCTGATACTCCATGAGCTGCAGTACATCTATAGTCTCTTATTTTATTAATTTATGAGGAATGTGCTGTTTGCAGTCATCCTCAAATGTATTCATACCCTTCCATTAAAGAAACACCAAAATTCACAAAAGTCACTCAAATAACTAGAAACTGAAAAAGTAATAAGAAATAAAAATGTGCTAAATTATAATTTAGTAAAATAAGACATTGCTTTTGAATTGTGGCTGAAAAGAATAATTTAAAAAAAGAAAACTGCCCCGGACAAATGAGAGCACTTTGCTGATAAGCAGTGGACCAAAATACCTGTCAACAGGTGCAGAAGTCTGATTGAGAGTTAAAGAAAACACTTGATTGCAGTGATTGGCTCAAAGGGTTGTTCAACAAAATACTAGTTTACAGGTCCCATCATGCTTGTTGTTGTTGTTTTTTTGTTTGTTTTTTATATATATATATCTGTTGAACCACAATTCAAAACCATTGGCATGATTTTCATTAAGTTTTTATCTATTATTTTGTCAATTTCAAATTATTTCAGTGACAGCTGTTTTTTTTTCCGTCTCTAATGGGAGGGTATGAATACATTTGAGACTGTATGTATTTGTCCATCTTGCATTTTGGATTTTTTTGTGACAGACATCAACAGTTGCATGTAATTAACATTTAAAAAGGTCTAACTCATTATTATTATTGTGTAGGACACAAATAATTAATCCCATTTATATTGTTTTTTGTGTAATACATGTATAGTAGCTTTTTATTTCCTCTGCTGAATTCATTTTGTTCATAATGTCTGTGAGTTGACGTACGGTTGAAAGATTAGCAATCTGCTACTATTGTACTAAAGTACAGTGAACAGAAATCTAGTTTCATTCAAGAAAAAAAAAAAGACACCATTTTCACATTTTTCTTTATAAAACAATTTATTTTTTTAAATAGGCATTAGTATAAATGCTTCAGAGAAACAAAATTTGCACTGAAAAGCACAGGAAACTAATAAACTGCACACAAATGACAGCCCAGCTAATTACAGTCATACAAGAAAAATAAACACAAAGGGTTTAGCAAACAGCCTGGATAAATACTACCAAAGGAATTCTCAATATTATCACAAAATGAAAAAAACAAAAAACTTTTTTGGGAAGAAACAAAAAAAAATCACAAAGCAGTCCGTCAAGTTCATCTTTAACTTTTATTGTGTTTTGTTATTTCTGGGTGAATGAATTAAACTCAAATTACAGGTGTAGGGAGGTGGAGAGAGTCAGCAAATGTTCCCTCCTGTGTTAACGAGACAGTAACTGATTACTTATTTACATTATGAACATCATGCACTAAAGGTTTTAAATATCTCATGTATCAACATCAGTATATACCCAAACCAGTTTAGAAGCATGTTTACTTCCCATACAGTGGTTTATTTTGCTCATTTATGATGTGAATCACATATTTTTGGTGAGAATTTGACTGTATTGTGTTTATCTGTTGCTTCCACTGTTCATACAAAATTAAAGAGACAAGTTGGTGTTCAGAGTTTCCACAGTTCAGGCTGGGAGACGACACCACACTGTACTGACTGAATATTAGCTTCTGTATCAGTAATGGTCAAGTTTTCGCATTACGTCATACTTACTCTCCCTCTTTAATCACGACTACTTTTAGGCTCGATTTCAATATTAAAAGATTTAATTACAAACAGATGAAGCACTTAAACGTAGTACTTATGCTGAAACGTCTCAACACGGTGGCTACAACCTTAATTTGTCCCGTCATTAAACACCCAAGATGTCAAACAGCAATAAAACACAACAAAGACATTTTCATCAGGTCAAAACCTTTTAATTTAAAAAAACAAACCAACCAAAAAAAGGAACTAATTTGTAAGAACACCTGTCCTCTAATTTGTTGCATTTCTATCACATTTCACTTTCGCACCGGCACACTCACTTTCACTCACTGACACAATGTGGTAGACAGCTACTGCACCTTTGGAACAAAAACATGCAGACTGATTTGTCAATTATTAATAAACACATCCTAGAATTACACAATCCAGTGTAGCGAGAATGAATAAAGGTCTGCTTTAACTTCAAGGACTACATTAGTGATTTTGTAAGTTTTAGCTCATTAATCACAAACGTTTTACTGCGAACCATCTCCAAAGAGCTTCAGGTAGCTAATGGGTTTCATTTATTTTACATTTAGTAAGAATATCAACTGGCAATTCATGAGATTTAACTTTGCTCAGAACGGTCGTCTGTCCGAAGAACATTTTTGGAAACTTCCAGCGAACCGTACTGGCGTGAACTAAACCAACAGAATGAAATTGTTCAAAAGGGTTAAGAAATGATGGAAACTATACAATTTGCAGTTAATGTGCTAAAACGTGCAAAACTGCTTGTACAGTCCTTCAAAAAGAGCTTACAACTGCCCTCATAGCGATGAAGGCGATTCAATATTTAAGCCTTGAATAGCACACAGGGATGTGAGCACAAATAACTGAGGAGAACTTATTATTATGTGAAGCAAGAGTTCATCTCTATTTACAAATGAATCGGAGGCAGCAAAACAGCAATTCCTCCTCTACAAAGAAGCAATCACATCCCTGAGTACAGCGTTTGTCGTTTCTATCATTTATATTCACTGCTGTGTGATCACTTATTATCGTCGTGTCCTTTCTGGTCAGCGCTCGGTTGATCACAATAGTGCAGCACAGCATCGCTCCACAGTTTTTTTCTGACCCAGAATCAGCGAAGAGGTTGACATGAAACATTAAAGAGACCTCCGCAGCAGTCATACTGCTGCAATTCAGGCACAACAAAGTACCATGTGGGTTTGAAGAGCTGCGCTGACAGTAACTATTAGAGTAACAGCCAGACGGCTCTCCATCAGTGTCACAGACGGTCAAAGACATATTTCAAACATTGCCTTAGAGTGGTACGTGGCGCAGAGTGCCAGCTGTTATTCCTAGATACGTCCTCATCTCCCTATTAACAAAGAATGTTTCATCGTTTGCTCATCAAGCCTAGCGGAGCCTCTGTTAGCACGGAGCCTCTTCCTCCGCTTTCTCGCCCTTGTCCTCTTCCTCCGCATCTTTGTCTTTGTTCTTTTTGTGTTTCTTTTTCTTGTGTTTGTGCTTGTGCTCCTTCTGTTCTCCTTCTTTGTCCTGGCTGCTGTGCTTCTTGTGCTTTTTGTGTTTTTTATGCTTCTTATGTTTCTTCTTCTTCTTGTCTGTCATGTTGGTTCCGGAGCCGCCGTTGTTGCTCGGGGTGGGGCTGTTGGAGGCCTGGCTGAGGGACGGACTCGGGCTGCCGCTGCGTCCTCGCTCCGGCTCAGACCCTTCGCCTTCGCTGTAGTCGGGCACGAAGGCCGCCTCGTCCGTCTCGCGGCCCAAGTCGGAGCACAAACGCTGCCTCCTGGGCTCTGGGCCACGACTCTCCTCTCGTCCTCCTCCACCTCTGCTCTCTGCCGCTCTCTCCTCCTTCCCCGTCCCTCCTCGACCCTCCTCTCTTCCTCCAACCCTTCTCTCCTCTTCTCTTGCTGCAGTTCTCCCTTCTTCTCTCACCCCTCTCCCCTCCTCCCTTACAATTTTTGTTTTGCTCAGCTTGTCTGAATTCGTCTGTGACGTCCTGCCAGCCTTGCTCTCTTCTCTTGGTGCTCTTCCTTTCTTCTCCTCCCTCACTACTCCTCTCCTCTCCTCCCTTGGTGCATCCCGGCTTTCGCTCCTGGTGGGTTTCGGTGCTTCAAGTTGCCCCTCTCTGCCTCGGCTTCTCTGCGGCACCGGTGAGGGCTCTTTGGGTGCACTGAGTCCGTTTTCTTGACCTTCTTCGTCATCTTCTCTCTCCCATTTGGAGCGAGGAGGAGCCTGGATGAGTGGCTCCTCCATGGCCGGGCTGAGTGGTGGGCTGACACTTGGGCTGCGGCCACGGCTGTTCACTGGGCTAGGCGGAGGCTGCTCTGCAGGTTTAGAGGATGCACTCTTCTGGTCTTTTTCTGGCTCCTGTTTTGAATCTTGATTTGTCCTACTGTTGAGAAAAACACTTTATAGGTGATTGAGAAACACGACTGCTTATGGACAAACACAGCAACCAGCAGGACACGGAGAACTTTGAAATGTTCTAATATTAGTGACAAAACTAAACCCTAATTTGAAGATCAATGCCAGAATGAGTCTGTGTTACTTTGCTCTACGAAACCTTTTCTTTTCTTTGCCTGTCACCAATTCATCTGTTGCATCTTCTAGAACAGCGGTATTCAATTAAAAGTAAAAGGTCCGAACCGAAGTCCAGTTTGTGTCCTATAGCCTTCCCCTATGTCCACATTTTCATGGTTTCAACAATACTTATTGTCAATTTTCAATGCAGGATATGTTGAACTGAGTGCACAGTTAGCTCTTTTACCATATATATAAGTAGTTCCAGGCAAATAAATTTAAGGCCTTTATTTTAGATTAAAGAAACCTCAGAATAAAACACATATTTAAAAAGTGCAAACAGCCAAATAACCCTTTTATCTTTTAAATTAAAGAGCTCCCAGCCTCAAGAACTGAAGGTCTCCACTTCAAGTAAAAAAGTAAACATCCTCAGAAACCAATAAATAAAAGGTTTGGTTTGCATGTTGCTGGGCTGTAAATGTGTGTGATGAGTCGGATAGATCTGTCGTACAGGGCCTGCAGCTCGGTTATTTTGCCCTCAGCTCCTACTTCAGGGGATAACTTTGCTCAAAAGAGCTTTGTTTCGCAGTGGCGCTTCACGTTGCTACTTTTAATTAACGCCACGTTTTCAGAGCATGAAGCACACTGGTTGTGAACTGCCTGACGGAAGAATGAACATAAACTTCTCCGTCCACTCGTCTTCAAAGCAGCAGTTTTCCTCATCAACCTTCCTTTTTTTGGAGCAAGCCATCATTGTCTCTTCCTCTCTGCTCTGCTGTATAGTGCAAGTGCAAAGTGGCAGCGAGCTGTGGCGGTGCGCTGGCCATGCAGGGGAAGCAAAGGATTTGATTGGTTCAACTGAGTGACGCTATCGTCGTATTAACTGGAGGAGCAGCGCCTGCTGTCTGTAGCCGCGACAGTCAGAAAAAATGCTCCAAGAAAATCTATTCTCGTGAATTTATCAGAGATTGGTCACGGGTCCAGACAGAACCATCACTCGGTCCAGATCCGAACCGATTTGGTGCCACCATTTGGTGATGCCTGTTCTAGAACAATAACTTTATCATTTAGTCTATAAAATGAAGAAAAACATCAAAAAGTAGAGACATCTTACATCTAAAATAGTTCACTCTTCATGTCACAGACCAAAGAACAGCTGCAACTCTGAACCATTAAATCTGGAGCAAAGTCATTTAACATTTTTGCTCAAAGAATAATTAAAAAGATTAATTATCACAGTATTGACGGTAACAATCACGTGACTTTTAGGTTTTTAGTTTAAAACAATAGTTGTGATTGTTGCTTATATGATTAGTTACCATTTAACATAAACAATGAATAAAAAAATATTTTTTTAAACTATTCTTTTAAATATAGAATATAATACAAGGATTGTGCTTCTGACATCTCATTTAAAACCAGATGACTGTTATGGTCATATTTTGGTGGGGACCAAAAATAAGTTTTCCACTACACACCTTTTCAAACATAACGATTGTAAGAAGTTAATTTCGTGTTGCTAATGACGAACTGACTGAAAACTCAAGGCTACAAGCAACTGTGATTCTTTTGTTACCCTAAAGGACATTTGGTAAACACATATCACAAGAATGCAATGACAGTAAACAACATATCCAAAATCATTTTAAAAACAAATCAAATGCAGTAAAATACATAACATTATATAAAAACAAAGAGCGGCTCACCTTGTGGAGCTTGTCGTGTGACTTGTGAGAGTCTTTCGACTGATCCTGGGTTTGCTCTTCACAACAGTGTCCTGACCGTCTTTGCCCCCTGTCAGAGAGGGAGGGAGGAGCACTTAATTCGACAGATCAAGACAAAATCAAAGTTATCATCTCTTGCTGCACTTGTGCGTTGCTTCAAATTACCTTCTCTGTGAGCAGCAGCTGGTTTCTCTCCTGAGGGGACACTCCTCTCCGTTCTGTCCTTGGACACACTTCTGGGAAATGAGAGAATATAATTACACGTATTAACAACGGTGTTTACAGACAGAACCGCTGTATCATCATTCTTTCAGTCTTGGAAATGGATAGTTGTTTGACAAGCAGCAGAAGAACTAATGTACCAACCTGTCAGATTTAGCAGCTCTTTCTGAGCCCTCTCCTCTCTCCTTGGATGATGCACTTGGTTTCTCGTGATGGTCTGCCGGTCTCCTGCTGATGGCCGATTTCTCTCCGATGGTCATTTTATCCAGACAGACAGACCTCGCTCCCCCACTTCCACAACTGGAGCTTTTTCGTTCTGTTTTTCCTGACCTCTCTTCTTCTGTCTCTCTCTCCACTGAAACGGCTTTCTTCTGCGAGCTAGACCCTGAGACCCTGTCCCTCTCTCGGTCAGAGCCCTGACTTCTGTCTCTGTCTCTGTCTGAACCAGAAGGTCTATCTCGCTCTCTGTCCGCTCCAGAGCTTCTGCTCTGCTCTCTGTCTGAGCCGTGCTGTCTCTCCGTAGCGCTGCTTGGTCTCTCTCTGGAGATGCCCCTTTCTGCGGAGGCCGACCGCTCCTTTCTTCCAGCTCCCTCTGCTGCACTACTGGGTCGGTCTCCCTCAGAGCTGTTGGCAGAAGCTGATCTTTCTGAGGTGGAGGTCGTCTTCTCAGGAGCTGACGGTGTCCTGTCTGAGGCTGCTGTCTCAGTGCTGTCCTTTCTCCCCAGATCTCTGTTCAACTTGATCCTCCTTGGTGGCTTCAACTGCACGTAAACAGACGCAAAACATAAGAAACATTTAAAATTCACTAAACACCAACAAATTCTACATCAGTAAAAACAAATCTTAAGTAGTCATTCCACTTATGCAACAGACCTACCTGAATGTCCATCAGAGGTCTAATAGAACCTCGATCTGCATCTCCACGTCCCAGGTCCCGGCTCCCTGGTAGAAGGCCGGGCCTGTCAGAAGGGGCAGGGAGTCTGTGGAGTGGGGGCTGATGAGACAGGTGTGAGTGGGAGAGGACATCGCCTCCGCCACCGAGCCCATCGATTCTCCTCAGCTTTCCAGGAGGAGCTCCGAGTATCGAGCGGCCCTCCTCTCCCATCCTCCTCCGGCTGTCTGCTGGAGAAGGAGGTCGGTGGATGATTGGGAGGCCGTGTGGATGGGGGAGGGTGAGGATCCCACCGCCCTGTGGAAGATCTCTTCGTCCCCGCATGTCATGGCTGGATCGAAGGCCATCGTGTAGAAAGGGTTGAGGTGGTAGTATGTTGTGGGAGGACAGTGGAGGGGTCTTCAGCGGGGCAGGCCTCACAGTAGAGCTTTTACCCTTTTCCTTTTTGGGGGTAGTTGAGTGGGGGGCTTCCTCTGGTTTGGGTTTAACAGTCTTTAATGGTTTAGCAACAGAGGAGGAGGAGGTGGAAGTGGAGGTGGAGGCTGAAGTTGAGTCTTTCTTTTTGGTCACTACTCCTTCTCCAGTCTTTTTCTTCACTTTGTCGCTCTTTACCTTCACACTCTCTGTCTTAACTTTAGCTTTTACCTTCGGAGCCTTATCTTTCTTCGCTTTATCAGATGGAGTCTTTGATGTAGACTTGGTGGAAGGTTTAATGGGTGCAGCAGTGCTTTTAGAGGCTGGAGCTTTAGAGGCTGTAGTACCAACTGGAGGTCTTGAGGAGATGGGAGGCGTTTTAGTGTGTGAAGGTATTTCATCCATTGGTTCATCTCTGACAGGAGTAGCATCACCTCTGTCCATTGACTGTTGTGACGGCTCTGGATCCTCTCCAGTCTTCTTCTTTTTCACCTTTTTTGTTTTCAAGACTTTGGTACTGGATTTGGTCCCTGATGAGGAAGAGGATGGGGGGTGGTGAGGAGGAACACCTCTGTCATCCCTCCCTCTTCTCCCTCTTCCCTGGGGTGAGTAATCTCTGGATAATGGGGACAATCTGTCCCTCTCCCTGTCTCTGCTGCCATGACCTCTGTGATGCAGTGAGGGATGCTGGTTGTCATAGTCTTTGTAGTACTTGTTGTACCAGTCTGCATACTCCTTCTCCCACTGTCGATATCTTTCTCTTTCCCAGCGCTCGTGGCCTCCAGGACTTGGACCCTTCAGTTCATACGGCACTAGCTCCCGAGGAGGTGGCTTTCGTCCACCAGGGCTGCGGCTCCGGTATCCACCAGGGGAGCGAGACCGTGACCTAGACCTGTAGGGTCCTGCTGCTTCTGCTCCCTCCCAGCCTCCTCCCCTGTAGGAGGGAGGTGAGCGCGGTGAGCCAGAGCGCCGGTACCCGTAAGACCTTGAACGAGAGCGGGACCTTGTCCTTGAGCGTCCATAGCTGCGTCCATTACGTCTAGAATAAGGGGAACGAGGATAGGATCGGCCATGGGAGCGTGAACGGGACCGGGATCGACTGGGAGAATAGGAGTAAGACCTGGATCTTGATCGGGATCTAGATCTTGACCTGGATCTTGATCTAGAGCGAGAGTAGGGAGAGCGGCTGAAAGGAGAGCGACTGTATGACCGAGACCTAGAAAAGGAAATGGTTAAGAAGAACAGAATTAAAGCAGAGAGAAAGAAAGATGATTGTACAAAAAAGTGTAAGAAATGGCTCCAAGTATTCTGCATATGTAATAAATGTATAAACTGTGATTTATTGTAATATCCTATAATAAAGTCACCTGGAGTAAGATGGTCTTCTTCTCTTTGGTGCATTTCTGTACTTCATAAGCTCTTTGTGGAAGTCTTTAGTAAATTCATCCAGTTTAGATGTAACTCTGTGGATACAAAGATAAAAATACTGAAAATGTTCAAGTGTTAAACCTCAAATCTTTTATTGTACTCATCTCCTAATTGTTCAGAATCACAACTCTGAATATTATTCGGTGTAGCATTTCACTTGTGCTATAGTAGCCGCTGTAGCGGTTTGATAACCTGAACATCAGCAACTCACTTGTCCTGTCGGTGGTGCCTCTGTCTGTAGAAATCTTCCTTTGAGAGAGGGGGCTGCAAGAGGGATGGCGGAAGAGAGACAAGAGGTGGCTGGGTACCAGGGGCAACCCAGGGAGGGTTAAGCCCTGGTGGTCCAGGGGCATAAACGGGCTGGGGCTGGTAACTGATGGGAGGTGGAGGGATGAGGCCGGAGCCTGAGGTGTATGGAGGCGGGTAGGACTGTGGTGGGGGCGGGTACAGGGATGGAGAGGGGTACACCGGAGGAACAGGTGCAGGTGGTGGAGCTGTCGGGAGGTGAGTGGAGGGGTGCTCTCCTCGACTTCTGTACCTGGTTTAAAGAGAGGGACACAAAGCATTATGAGGCTGACACATTGCACAGCAAGTGCTTATTGGATCAGATAGTCACAGAGACGGTCTTACCAGTGTCTCCCTCCTCCTCTGTGAGAGTGGTTGGGCCGTGACTGGTGACCTAATAGATCAGAAAGACAGTTGGTTAGTCGCTGAGTGCATCTACTTTAAGCTCACTAAATCTCCTAAAATCAGTAAACTAAGCCACTGACCTGATGGATGAGGCGGCCTTGCAGGTGGCGGGTGGCCAATAACGGGTAAACTGTAGCTCTGTGGGAGAAATTACAGTGGCAAATAAAAGTTAGATGCAAGAGAAGTTACAGTTTCCTGTTTTCAAGGATGTATACATATCTGCTACAGACATAAATAAAGCTTTAAGTAAAGATGATAATACTAGTGTTATTGAAAGCTCTTTCAGCCTTAACGTCTGCCCTAAAACAATTAAATAGAAGTAATCAGTGACGCAGGATTATCCGCACAGTCATGTTGAACCATTTATAGAGCCTGCTTTTAAAAGTCAGTGAGATCGATATAAAGCCATTACAACATTCATCAGGTTAAGATGGACCGACCTGTGATCCACTCTCTGAGGTTCCTGATGAGTCTGGTGTCACAGTCGGTTCTGGGTCTGTCTCACTAAAACATAAACAGAGACGAATTGATGAGTAAAAATGACACCACTTTTAGTGTTTGCATTCTCGTGTCAGTATGTGGACCATGTTAGGCTGAACTCACCCGGGTGGGGGAGGTTCACCCTGGCTGCTGGAGTGCATAGGAGAATGGCGGTCAACAACAGGTGCAGGTGCTGGTGACGCGTCTTGTCCTTCAACAGCATCAGCAGCATGAGGAGGAGTAGGACAAGCAGTAGCAGCAGAAGTGGGTGCAGGCAGTGGGACCTGTGCTTGAGGGGTGGTGGTGGGTACACTTGGTGGAGGCTGAGTGGCATTGGCCATCAGTGGGTCCTGCTGTCTCGAGTGCAAAGGCCTGACCAGCTGTGGGCGTGGTGGAGGTGGGGCTGCATGCTGGAGCTGCTTGCGCACATGTTTGGTGTATCCCGTCTCATTCTTAAAGTTGTTCACAGCCTACAGGAAAACAAACAGATGATTCATCGTTTAACCCTAAAACCCACCAGCAGGTTTGAGCAGCATGTTAACTTTAATTAAAATAGTCAAAATGACAATTCGTCCAAGTCAATAACTGTTTCAAAGAAAGCAGGAGTTGTTAGATTTTCAACCCCCTGACAGTCCTGGTAATCAAATCGAAGTGTAAAATCGCAATATTTTATCCAAATCTATTTATTCTACATGTTTTATTTAACAATTCGCAAAAGTATATCATTTGCATCAGACTCTATGAAAAATAAAATCAAAATCTGTGGCTGTAGTGACTCAACAACAACTAGAAGTCACATGACATAAATTCTTGGACTTTTAGGCTGAGCTGCGGGTTGTTTACACAGAGCTCAGAGAGGACAAACGTGGAAACAAATTATAAATGTAAATAGTAAAATATCTACAGTATGCAGAGTTGCTGTTTTGTTCCTGAATTGGTAACGCCTGTGGGCACCTAGGAAAATACTATTTGTTGTGAAACAAATGAGAAATTCAACTTTAGATGTCAATATGATTTGTAGCATTATAACTTCGTCATACTGCACAAAAGACATTTTTAAGTTCTTTCAAGTCATAGTTGTGCTGTTTCCATCTTTATATTTCAGTGTAAAATGAGGCAATAAAATGTGATATGAGCAAAAAAGAAAAATTAATTCAGCGGGTTAAAGGACATTTCAAGAGAAAATAGCCCAATTCCACATTAGAATGCATGCATATGAAGGGCATACCTGTCGAAGGAACTTGTTGGCAATAAGATTATCAGGTGAAACATCTGACTGCTTGCACGAGTAGCAGATGTGCTCCTCTGAGTCCAACAAGGCAGTTCTAATACCTGAAAACAGACAGGCTGTATTAGACAAAAGCTCACGTTCATTTAAAACAAAAAAAACATACTACACATATTTCACGTGAAGACTTTCCCCTCAACCACTGATCGTCACAGAGACCGAGTGGGAAACTATCACTATACAACCACAACAACAAGAAGCTGAACAACCACTCAAACATAAAACATGTCCTGGGTCTGCATCGCTATTAAGAGGTTGATCTTGGATAACTTGTTTATTTCTGCCTTGTCAACAAATTTTAAATGTGCGAACAAGACAAAAACTCGTGACATAAGTAGCAAGACTAATTAATTATGTGCTGTGCGATAATGTGACATGAGTAAGGACTTACAATCATCGCAGTAACTGTTCCCACAGCAAGGTATCACCACGGCGTCTGTCATCAGGTCATTGCAGATTGGACACAAGAGTTCATCAGGGATTGGGTCTGTATCGTCCTCAGATGATGACTGGTCATGTGGGACAAACGGGGGGCGCTCCTTCTTCCCTTGGGCATATGCCTCCCTATTCACAAAGATTCATTTTATTTCATTTTGAGGTCTAAATCACTAACAAAAAAAAAAAAAGCATCAGCAATAAATAATGTATTTGTGGATACTTTAAGAGGGCACAGATCAAAATGGTTTATGACAAAATATGACACTTCTTAAGTCTAGTAGACAACACATTTGTGTGTGTGTGTGTTCATGTGTGACACCTACGCATCTATAGCAGGTATAGCGTACTCTCCGGTGCTGGTTAACATGGCTCCCTTGGTGCCTGGCTCTGCTTTCACCATGAAGCTCTGTGGTATGCCCTTACTGATTCTTACAGGCTTGGGACCCTCCACACTCTTATCCTGCACCTAAAAATTAAACAAACAAACAAAAGAGATCATTTACAAAAGAGAACAGAAGTTACTTTCAGACTATGAAAGCCAAACAGTACACGATAATTACCATCAGCATGGGGCACTGCCGAATGTAGTGACCGGCCTTTCCACAACGATAGCAGGTATAGTGAGCAGGCGGAGGTCCAATCGCCTTCTTGGAGTAACTAGACAGACAAGTTCAATTTGTTAAACTATCTACAGCTAGAGAATAAGGTTGAGTAAACGTTCACAAGTCTGACTTTCATCAGGTATAAAGACAAGATGAGCATGCGTGTGTGTGCACTAACTGTATTGGATCATATTCATGGTTCGACTGAGACATCATGGCTTTAATCTTGTCCTCCTCTGATGCATTTGCGTCAACCAGGTTAGGAGTCTAAAACACATCATAGAGAGACAAGAAATAAGAGAAGAGGAGGATGTCAGCTTCTCAAGAAAAAAAAAGAAAAAAATCCTCTCTTCTCAACTTGTGGAAACATTTTCTCCAAGTACAGCAAGCATGTACAGAAGCAGTACCTTGGCAAGTTGGGCGAGTGACAAAGAAGGAGAAGAATCCGTCTGCAGGAGAATCAGAGTACATATATTAAAGGTGTTAACATGATATCGAATAGACATACAGTGGAAGATAAGAGCCCAGATAGTTTCCCACCACATCTGTGTCCAGTCCCTTAAGAGTCTCCGTCTAAGTCTTGACAGCAAAATTATGGCCTTTGCTGTGCACAAATTAATAACAGAGCTGCGGGCATTTAAATCAGGTCGTGGACTACAAGTCGTGTGTGCGGTGTTCACCCCCTGTTCTGACTCACAGTTGTTTAACAATCAAGAAAAGTTTAATGTTGTCAGAGTTTATCTTTTCAGAGCTGTTAACACTAAAAACAGGTTATATGGAGAATAAAGTAAAAACTAAATAACTCAGAGATTAAAAAATAAATAAATTAGGAGTCCATTCTGAAAGTAATGTCTATCCCCTTTGAACAAAATTCAACATTTACTGGAAAAAATTCCAGAAATTTAGATTTAAGAAAAATCTAGATGACACACTCACGACTGTCACTGTTTGGAAATCATTCAACACTGCCAAGCTGCAGAAACATTTAACAAGTAAAGCGAACTTCTATTCCAACTCCTCTTTTGCATACACACGTCCAGACCTGCTTATATCCTCAGCCTTTAAGTTCCAACTATGGTCGTGTCCAAGACCTTCTGCTTAAACACTTAAACCCTTCTTAACTATTTGGGCTTATCAGCAAATTCAAAAATGTACACTACCGGCACATCCCTCTCTATCCTATAGCCTAAAGCTTTTCCTGCAATAGAGGGCAATTTTCTCAAAGGAATACTTGACATTTAATTTTAGTATGCAGTTTCCCTTCACCAGGCCACAGTAATTTAGCTTTTTTTTTTTTGCACCGGCTTGTTGAAAGCAGTTGTCATGACTGTTACAAACTCATCAGAAACAGTTCAAGATTGCTTTGTATAAACTAATGAGCTAGCGTGGAGTGGTGCCAACCCATTTAAAAAGTGCTAGCACGGTAAACTGTCAAATATGCAGAGCTGATAAGACACAAATGTAGAGATCTTTCTCTCAAAAAAGTGCCTGATGAAGAAAAAGAAAGTAACAACTGTTGTCAAGTGTTCCTTCAGATTTCTCTCTAAAACAGCCCTACACCACAACAGAGTGAATGGTGAAAGCAAGAGGAGGGATGTCTCTGTAATGTAGGTCAGGAGTCAGTGGACCATGAGGATTAAGTCTCAAGCACGGACCAAAGTCATATTTTACAACAACTAAAAGAAAAAGCTGCTCTGCCTACTTCTTATGAAAAAAAAGGATCTGTTAGTAAATAAACAAGCGAGCATGAGTGGGGTGTCCATCAGGATGCACAGGGCTCGGAGGAAACACGGGGTATTGCAGAATGCTGTGGAGGGAACACACAGGGATCTGGTGCAAGCGGTTCTGACACTGAACCACTGAACAACTTTATTGACAGGTTCTGCAGCTTACAGCTTACAGGACACACTACACCAGTATACTTCTCACTGCAGCAACCATGGAAGGCCTCCAGAGGTTTGACAGGATACTTCACTGATTGTGTCTTAGTGCTTTGTGATCATGTCACAACATTATGCGTCAGCGGCCGAGTCACAGAATCTCTCTTATCAAAACTAGCTTCTTACTGATCCCCCCACACCACAGTTGTAACAAAACACTTTCAACTAGGACCCGTTTCTTTGCAAAACAGGCACTCAGGAGTCTGAATCAACTCAGTTTAACTCAGCAGGGTCAATATGTGAGCCTTGAAGGTTTAGGGGTTATGTGCAGTCCATACGCAAAGCAGAACAGAACATCTTCATGGTGAAATTGTACAAGACAAAACAATTCACAGTGGTAATTGTTATTGAACAACAGATCTGATCATTTTTACCTTTAGCAGGGTAAGCTTTTGAAATAAAAAATCACTGGCAAATCTATTCCACTCACACAATTTTAGTGTTGTAATTGTAATCAAAGTTAATTACAATCAATCTCAGCCACACCTTACTTCTTTGGGTTCTAAACCACATAATAAATAAGATATTTTCACAGAAAATAAATGACAATAGATTATCAGTACAAAAATACCATATTTTTCCTTTTACACACCCCTTTAAAATACATTTGCCTGGCCGGGAGCAGGCTACAAAACCATTTCATTATGAAATACAGTCATTAACAGTTTAAATTGTTTCTCAGACAATTATAATGTGGCAACAGTTCAACAGTTGGTCAGTTCAGAGCATTAAAATAAACAGTGGTGGCTAGTCTGTTGTTTCTCTTATGAATCTGATCTCATTAACCCACAATGTACTTTAATCTGCTCGTTTCAAAAAAGAAACAGAAAACCAGTGTTTGTAGAGAGAAACAACAAACTACTTCATGTGGTGACCCCAGGAAACCCTCCCCAAAAAGACATCAAATAACATATAGAGGTTTAGATCGCAACACAAATGTAGCCAACACACAGTGAACAGAAGATACAACTCGATCTTTGTTGACAGAATGTTCTTGAGAAAGGTGACTAAAGCCAGAAATAGGGGGGCAGAGAGAGAGAGAGGGGTGAGGAGGAGGAGAGAGTGTTGTTTTTGGGTTTGTTTTACATACGGGTCTAGAAGATCCAACCACAGCTGTGTCAGAACGATCTCTGAAGAACAAAAGAGAGAGACCATCAGTTACTGACAAAACTCAATATCCAACTACAAGACCAGGTTTTTCAAAAATAATAGCACTGTTAAAAAGTACATTAGATTATATATATTATTTAAGACTTCTGATCTGTATTCAAAAGAAATATTATTTTAAATATAGACACAATCTATATAGAACTCTAAATTATTCGTGTCCATACTGCTCAAAAATGGCACCGCTAATCATTTCGTATTTAAAGCATACATACACAATGAACGTCCTGCCAGCAGGTTTTACTCCACCGATTGGAGTGCGGCGGACGATCACAGATGAGTGTTTCGGGATGTGGGCTTCATCATCTGTGTACTCTATAAAACAAGACAGACAAATCATTAGAAAACATGAATCGTCATGACACGATAACAATATCACCAAAATGTGTTAAGTCAGAATTAGAGCACAAAGCCCACATGGAAATTGGATCAAACAACAAAACACATGTACAATGTAAATTAAATGAGCATTTAGCTGCCAAAAACAACCATTTCTGACCTTTTTGTGCAATATGAGCAAACCAAGAGATTGTGGGCAAATTTAGAGCTTGAATGACCTCACAACTTCAGCAAAGTAATAAGAACAGCTAACTTGACATAAAACAGTTTTATATATATATATATAAAATATATTTTACATAAAAACATATATATACACACACACACACACACACACACACCTATATACATATGCTGGGTTGTTTGGGGTTGGTTAAACTCATCACAGACAGGGTTGGGAGATCATTACCATTATCTGTCTGAAGATTGTCAGTCATCCAGGTCATGTTTGTTCTAGTAGTTTAATCGTAGCAACTGGACTCCTTGAAGACGTGTCACCTCTCATCAGTTCTGATTGAGTACTTGAAAGTTCCACAACCCTTCATTATGCAAGTCATTACTACTCCCCTGCCACAATGGGGTTTGATAGGCTCTTTTGTGGCTAGGTGTGAATGTGGCGTCACCTTCCCAGGGAGAGTTCTTAAGACTGAATGGTACAGTCTTAATTGTACATGTGTGACAGAGGTGGAGGTCTGAGGCATCACTTTTTACCCGTTTACAATTCAATCTTGAGAACTCTTCCCAGGAAGACAAAACCACATTCACACCTAGCCAGAAAAGTCCCTAAAAAAAAACAAACCATTGTGGAATCCTAACAACTCGCATAATGAAGGGATCTGGAACTCCCAACTACTCAGTCAGAACTGATGAAGCCTCTAGGACGAGAGGGGAAACGTCTCCAAGAAACTCAAGCAAGTCCAGTTGCTATGATTAAACTATGAGAACTACCATTATCACTCTACATTGTTCAAAATTTAGGAATTTATTGGACAACCTAGCCCAGGAATATGACAGAATTAATCAGCAACTTTTGAAAGATGACTGAGTCCATTGTTTGATGGCTATAATTACAAATTTACTACAGTTTCATGAGTGTAATTTGGTTTCCGTTCTCCTTCTACATACTCCTTGCCACATTTCATGATTCATTATAGGCGACATAATAATTTGAGAAAAGCAATCAGGCTATTCAGCAACAATGACAATACTGAATCTCTAAAGTGAATCACATTATGTTAATCACGGACAAGCCCCATCTCTTGACTTGTATGGCCTATCAAAGTTATTGTTGAGGGAGAAAATGTCCTCATGTCATCCACTCTACCGCCCCAGGACATTGGATTGCACGTTTTTCTGGCATCATGCAATGTGTCAGTTGATAACGTACCTTCTCGAGTCTGCGCATTGGTGATCTGCAGGTCGCAGTCTGTGGCCTTGAGGCGCTCCCTGGCCATAATCTGCCTCTTAAGCTCGCTGAGGGTGATATGCAGCCCATCGAAAGTGACTGTATTGTAGTCCAGTTTGGAAGAAAACTTATAGTGAACACACGACATTTTTACAGGTCTAAGTCAAGTTAATCAAGCACAAGGGGAAAAAAACACAGGCCTGGTATAACAAAATGAAACAGCGTCAACACTGAACACAGGAGGCTAAATCTGTTGACTTTAATAGGTAAAACCCTTCTTTATGCTCGCTGAAACACTATGGACAAAGAAAGGACTAAAGTGCTGAGAGGTTCAGCTCCGGATGACGACAGAGTCCTTATTATTGGCAAAGAAAAATAATCGGGATGTGAGGCCAGAGCGCCATTGAGTGGCGCCGTGTGCCCCGTCAGTTCTTTACAGTCCGATAAAACACAACAGAGTGCCACCAAATCCAAGAGAGTCCACGTAGCACAGTGTAAATCTATCACATGAGAGCAAATGAGGCCAAGTCCGTCGTGAAATGTCCTTGATGGAAAGCCCGAAACGCCGCGCTGCAAGCCGCTAATGTAGCTAGCAGCGGGCCTGGGGTTTCCCGAACACCAGTCCTTGTGGTATTGTTTTGGCTTTTTAGCACAGTTCTCTTTTGTTAAGTGTAGACGAGCTCCACAAAAAGTCCATTAAACTGCGTGAAGCCGCCCGCAACGAGTTCACCAGGTTTACGTTAGCCCTAAGAAAAAAAAAGACTACTCTTGAATACTCATGTATTGTGTAAATGTTAAGTTAGCTAATGCCAAGGCTAACATGCTACACCTCGAGATTAGCTAACGTCTCCTCGCTACTCAACACATGAAAACTCCCCTGGCCTAACAAAAGCTAACGGTGCTATGCTAACAACGTTGTCCCCAGTTAGCTGTCGACTAATCTGACAAAATCCACCAGTTAGACAGTCAAGACGCGAAGGTTCCTCTCGATCCACAGTTATTTTCCATCACGAAAAAACTGAAAGTTGGGTATCCAGTCGAATCTTCAGTTTAAATCCATAAAATCCATTTCGGGGATCCAAGCTGCTTCGCTCCTCGTCGTTTCATCAAAATGGCGCAGGACGGAACCGGATGTATCTAGGGTTCTACCAAAGAGTATATGTGCTAAGTCAAGAGGTTCCCTCCAGAAGCCAAAAGCAAAACAAATGGGCGCTTCGGCGTTAAAATGATCTACTGCAAATACAAATTGCAGAGATAGGTTGTTATCAAATTAGCAAACGTGCCGATAATAACTATGTCGGTGTTGTGGTTATACTGCCATTTTACGTTAAATATTTTTTATTTTCGTTCCTAACTTTTAGCAATTCTCATCGGCATAACTTGGCCTCTATCACAGCAGATGCTTGCTTTTCTTAATATTTATATTTCTTCATCTGTTTCAGCTACAAAGTGTAATTTTGGCAACTTTGCATACATACCAAATCTCCCTGTACCAGCCCGTCCTATGCCGGTCATCGAGCAGCCGTTGGCAAAACGAGGCTTGAAGATAATCGTGAACTATCTCCATTTGCTACTGCTCTTTGGTTGTTTCACGGTGTTGTTCAGGAGCCTCGCAGAACCTTTGGGTTTCTTGACGGGGGGCAATAAAATGGAAAACGGAACTCATATCATCTTTTACCATTTGTTTTCCGAATTATCAATCCTTCATCATACCTGAAGCCTCGTCAGCAGGAATATAGACCGACTGGAACGACTTCTCTGATCTCTGAACAATAGGGAGCAGGTAGCGTGGCCGAGCGGTCTAAGGCGCTGGATTAAGGCTCCAGTCTCTTCGGGGGCGTGGGTTCGAATCCCACCGCTGCCAGGATTTTATCGAGAGCAACTCTGAAACCTTAATAAGCAAAAGACAAGGACATGTACGTCAAAAGGAAGCAGAGATAAGATGTTCAATGGAGCTGTTACGGTGTAAATGTGGAGACATTGTGTTCCCCAATACAGAACAGGATAAACATTCTTCAGAGGCAGGAACTTTCTACAATAAAGAGTTTTTTTTGTTTCTTCATTCACTTCTTAATTAGTATGTGCATTGTAAGAGGTAAAACCACCTCATTCTGCATTTCTCTTCAGAGCATTTTGGTGACTTTTAGCTTAATATTTTGGTTTTACAGCTTGGCAAGACACACACCTTTTATCTCTGTTGCATATTATGCCTAGACACTGACTTAATGTAACCGGTGGTTTCTCTACTGCGTTGTGTGCTATGGGACGAAGCATAGATCTCTTTGGAGGCGATCTCCGTTTATTGAAGCTTGACAGACGACAAAAACATACACAAAACCCAGTTGCAGACGTGTACCGCTCTCCCACAGAATACGTGAACAAAAGGGGATGGCGGCCCGTAAGACGGGAAGCATTTAATATATATGCACTAAGTACAGTACCAGCCCAAACACATGCCTTGACAGATGACAAAAACGTACACAAAATCCGCTGTCATTTGCAGACTTGTACAGAAATGAAATGATAAAGCAACATATTAGAACCAGGAATGCAAAATTATAAGTGGAATTATGTACATTAGAAAACACACAGATAACAGCAGCACAGTGTCGCTTACCTTTCCCACTGCATATGTGAGCAAAAGGGGAGAAAAACCCATTTATAGGACAGGCTGGGCGACCAAAGGCATATGTGGGGTGCTGGGACCCCCAGGTGAAGGTTTCACACCACAACTGAAGGGCAGACCAGATTTTGTGATTCTAACAACGAAAGTGATAAAAATAAAATAACAGCAAATTTATATACATACAGTACATTATGTATCACTAATATAACAATACATATATTTAATATAATACTGCTGCTGCACGACTGACCCTGTTACATTAAGACACCCCATACAGCCCAATTGCAATGACTTGTTAGAATTATTGTAGTATACCTTCCAAAGGATGGAAGGTGATTTAATTTAATTTCATAAATTTGATGCTGGGTGATATTTCAAGGTCAAACTCAAGACACAAAAAATTAATATTGTCATTATATTTTAACATAGGGGGCCCTCAGTAGAAGGCTATTGTCGCCCCTGATACAGCATTTTGGAAAAAGTGACCTTTGAACTCTAGCAGAGCTATTTTTGCACTTATTGACCTCAAAATCAGAGGAGATACCATTCCTGGCTCCAGAGGCTACCGGGGGTAACTATATCCCTCTACTGAAGGCCCTCTAGTTATTTCAGGGGTAGCGTGGTCGAGTGGTCTCAGGTCTTTATTAAGACTCTAGTCTCTTTGGAGGTGTGTGGGTTCCAGTGCCAATGCAAACTACAAGGACAATGATTGTAATAAAAACGGCTTAACTATTTCAAAAGACTTGGCATCACAGGTTGGTATTTTATCATATGTGTGACGTGGTTATCAAGTCGTACTCTGGCCATTCCAGGTCATCACAAGAATGATTCTGCACTTCACTCTCAGCTCTGTAGTGCACTATGCGGACTTTCATCTCATTGCTTTGGCTTAAAGCTTGATGAACTTTTTTGTTTTGGACCAGTTTTGCTAAAACATCTTGATACTCCATATAAACCGATGGGAAAGACAGTGTGTGCTGTCTATTCAGAGGTAGCGTGGCCGAGCGGTCTAAGGCGCTGGATTAAGGCTCCAGTCTCTTCGGGGGCGTGGGTTCGAATCCCACCGCTGCCAGGATTTTATTATGAACAGCTCCAAAACATGAATGGGCAAAGTACAAGACACTGTCATGGGAAGAACAGATGAAGACATTTGGTTAAACTGGTGTTCTGTGGTGTCAGTGAGGGTGTGCTCAGATAATACATTGTGTGGTCATTGCAGTCATAACTCTGAGATAATAGAGCGGAAAACTCATATAACGCTGCTTCAGTCAAAATATATGTATATTCTTTTTCCAAAGAACTAAATGAGTATGTGCACTGTGAGAAATGTCTCTAACAACCAAACCACTGATATTATCACCTCTCTCTGCAGTTTATTACAGCTCTGCAAACCACTTCAGTGACTTTCAGCTCAATATTTTGGTTTTAGATTAACTTTGCTGTTTCAGTGCCATCTCTCTTCTTTCGTGAATTCTAATTCCAGATGCAACAGACAGCTGTTTTCATCAGAAAAGCTCAGATAAGCCTGCTGTTGATTTGTCTGTAGCTGCTGAAGAGCCAGACATTTCCCTCACAAGATGGTGCAGATCAAAGCAAAGTTAAAAGCAGACAGATAATATGATTGTGCTGCCGTCAAATTGCAATAAAAAGGAAATAAAGATCAATGAATGCTAGTTTGAGTCAAATGTGAAATTGTATCTAATAACATTAACCATCAGTATTTTTGCATCTATCACTCCAAACTTGTCATTTAGTTTTTCTTCAGTGTCCTACCCCTCATCAATCTTAAATATTAGTCCTACTCTCATACAGTCCAACTACACTGACTTGATTGACACAACCTTTCAGTAATACTTGCGATGGTGTCATCAGCTTGGATGTTGCTTGTTGTGTCATTGCCTGTCAGACACCTATGAGAAGAGTGAAATATACCATCCATCCATTATCTATACACCGCTTAATCCTCACTAGGGTCATGGGGGGCTGGAGTCTATCCCAGCTGACTTCGGGTGAAGGCAGGGGACACCCTGGACAGGTCGCCAGTCTATCACAGGGCTACACTTAGAGACAGACAACCAAGCACACTCACATTCACACCTACGGACAATTTAGAATCACCAGTTAACCTCAACATGTTTTTGGACTGTGGAAGGAAGCCGGAGAATCTGGAGAGAACCCACGCTGCGCAGGGAGAACACGCAGACAGATCCTGGTGTCCTCACCAGGACGTGGACCGGTGACTAGTGCTAACCACTGCTCCACTTTGCAGCCCAAGAGTGAAATAATGGTCAAGAAAAATGTGCAACAATCAAAATTAGATCGTTTTGTCAAAGACCAAATGATTGTGAGATGGGACTTAAGGGATGGAACCACAGAAATCATCACTTCTCTCTGCAGTTCCCTGCAGCTCTACAGAGCACCGGTGTTGTTTTTGGAGCTTGATCAACAGATGTTTTGGTCCAGTCTCTGCCTTAATCAGCCCCATTTCCAGTCACAACAGACAGTTGCTTTCATCAGAGAAGCTCAGATAAACTTCATGTATCTTTCCTGCCCAGGACTGAACACATGACGGTCAAAGGCTGCGTTCCAAATCATCTGCTTTTTCTTCTTATCTTAAGTACATATTACAGCTGCTCTCACAAAGCACTGTGTCATGTAGTTTGCATACACTTGGGACAAACTACTTGTCATGCAACACTGACGATACGATGGGACATACTAAATCTTTTTCAGGCAAAACCTATCGCATGGTAGCAACAACTTAAACTCCATGTAAGTGGAGTGAAGTGACAGCTTCAGAGGTAGCGTGGCCGAGCGGTCTAAGGCGCTGGATTAAGGCTCCAGTCTCTTCGGGGGCGTGGGTTCGAATCCCACCGCTGCCAGGAACTTATTATGAACTGTTAATTGATTTGGGCAAAGTGCAAGGACCAGAAAAGGCACTCTTAATGAGAAGAAAAAGTACAAAGATAGTATGTTAGTGTTGTCAAAATGGAAAAATGAGTTCAAACTGGTTTCTTTGGTTACATAAATGCACATCCTTGTTTAGCATATGTCACAACTGTTTATTTCTTCATTGGATTATTACATAAATATATCAAATAGCCTTCTTACATTCTTTAGCCAGCTTTTACCGCTTATGTATATTCAATTTAATTTAATTCAGTTCAATTCAAAATGTATATGTACCATCTACTGTCTTTTCTCTCTCTTGAACATTTCTCTGTGCTTTGTATGGCAACTGTACACTGTTATGTCAAACATTTTAATTAATTAGTTAATCAGTCAGTCAGTACTCCATCCATTAAGTGTTGCAACTATAGTCTTTACCCGAACCAGTCTCTCCAGCCTACCTGAAGCTATTTGATGCTCCATATAGACCGATTCAAACGACTTATCGTGACCCTCCTTTCAGAGGTAGCGTGGCCGAGCGGTCCAAGGCGCTGGATTAAGGCTCCAGTCTCTTCGGGGGCGTGGGTTCAAATCCCACCACTGCAAGGATTTTACCATGAACTCTTAATTAATGTTTGGAAAGCGTGGGCAAGTACTAGAGTAGGTATATAAATACAGAAAAATGAAGCTAGAAGCCAGTAATTGTGTCTTCAGGTGGGACATTGTTAAGTCAACTCAGAAGATGATGAAGATTAAAGTTAAAATTAGAGAGACATAGTATGTTAATGTTGTCCAAAATGGAAAAATGAGTGAGAACTCTTTTGTTCCATAACTGCAGATTGTTGTTTCACATATGCCACGAATATTTATTTCTTTAAATATTCCATCTTTTAGCTCTCTTGAACATTACTCTGTGCTTTGTTTGCCAAGTGTACAGTGTTATGTCAAACATTTTAACTGATTAGTCAATCAATCAATCAATCAATCAATCAATCAATCAATCAATCAATCAATCAATCAGTCAATCAATCAATCAATCAATCAATCAACCCATTAATTGTTGCAGCTATAATCTTGACTTGAACCAGTCTCTCTAGCCTACCTAAAGCTATTTGACACTCCATGTAGACCGGTTCAGACGACTTCTCGTGACCCTCCTTTCAGTGGTAGCGTGGCCGAGCGGTCCAAGGCGCTGGATTAAGGCTCCAGTCTCTTCGGGGGCGTGGGTTCGAATCCCACCGCTGCCAGGATTTTTATCATGAACAGCTCTGAAAGAACACAAGAAACCTTAAATAACCTGATAGGAAGACAACTTTGAGCTCAGTCTGTGAGGCCTCCTCCTGTGGACAATAGACACGATGGAATAGGAGGTAGACGTGTTTGACACGAGGTGCCAGCTGAGGTAAATGTGCTGCCGTTGTCAGGTAGTCTCTTGTCTGTGCATATTCATCACAGCTGCCTTGAATGTTCGTCTGAATGCTGCTGCTGCCATGGTAACGATTCAGGTTTCTCAGTCTGCCTGCTGTTCTGCTGATGTCTGTCTGTGAAGCCGTTTGTACCTCCCCGTCTTCGTCTGTAACTTATTCATGCATGTTCACACACACACACAAGCCTTCGACGGCCCAGCACAGAGGAGGAGGGGGGGCAATTATTTTTGGATAAACTGTTTGTACCTTTGTTTATATGTTTGTACTCGACTTGGACATTTGCTTCTGTGCTCACTTATGCAAGGGCAGGTATTTGAATATTCTCTCTCTCCTGCACACAGACACACCTGACACGCTCTGGAGGACACAAAAGCAACGACACTACACCTTGTACCGCTCTCATCTCTCTCCGAAGCACATTTTGTGAGATTCTGTTCATATCTAAGCTTTATTTGATGTAAACAGAGACTCGGTGACATAACCATAAGGGCAGAACCTTTTGTTACACTTATGGATGCTCACACGGTGACGCAAAACACACTCAGACACACAATCAGACAGAGCGAGAGACAGACAGAGAGAGTTCTAATGCGTTTAATGGGGTTTCGATTTTGAGTAGAGGTCCACAGAAACGAGGACACAAACCGGACGTAGTTGGTTATATGTCAGATGAATCTTCTGTGTTGTCTTGTGTTGTTACGTGACTGATTCTTGCTTTTACAGACAGCTCCTCCTCTCCGTCTCTCTCTGCGTGACTGCCACACATCCTTATTACTATGCACACTCATTCGCACACAAACTACAGATGTACTGCAGATATAGCTTCTGTAACAGCATAGCAGAACCACAAACAAGGAGCACAACAGCATAAGATGACAAAACTGCGTTCTTGTTTTCTTCTTCTAATTTCCTGGGAACCCGACGACATTAAATCAAAGATACAGATGGCTGCAGAAATATACAGTCGTCCTCAAATGTATTCATATCCTTCCATTAAAGAAAAGGCAAAATTCACAAAAGTCACTCAAATCACTAGAAACTGAAAAAAGTAATAATACATACAAATTCTCTAAATTATAATTTAGTGAAATCAGATATTGTTTTTGAATTGTGGTTGAAAAGAATGATTAAAAAAACAAACAAATCTGTCCTGGACAAATGAGAGCACTTTGCTGATGAGCAGTGGACCAAAACACCTGTCAACAGGTGCAGAAGTCTGATTGAGAGTTACAGAAGACACTTGATTGCAGTGATTGGCTCAAAGAGTTGTTCAACAAAGTGTTAGTTTACGGGTCACATCATGCTTGTTTGCTTGTTTGTTTGTTTTTTTTTTATATTTCTGTTGAACCACAATTCAAAAGCAATGTCATGATTTTCATTAAATTTTTATTTATTATTACTTTTGTCAATTTCAACTGATTTCAGTGACAGCTGTTTTTTTCCGTCTTTAATGAGAGGGTATGAATACATCTGAGGACGATCGTAATTATTTTGATAATTGTTTAATCTCTTTTGACATTTTCCAAGCCAAAATGACAGATATTCTCTGATTTCAGCTTCTTCAACGTTTGGATTTGCTCTGTTCCTTTCACTGTGTAATAACTGATGGTGTTGGACTGTTGGTCAAGCTTTGGGAAATCATGATTGCAACTTTATTACTATTATTTGACATTGCATTGACTAAATGAGTCTTTTAAAAAAAAAAGTCCTTCCTCTTTCTATACCCGGACCGTGAGAGGACTTCTTCTCATTTACTGTTCTTCTCTCATGGAAGTTCATCTTACGGTTCCTCTCAGACAGGCGTGGTCCTTCTGTTAGAAGCACAGTTTCCAGGCAGCATCTCTGTGTTGTTGTGAGCAGCTACAGTTGTTAAGTCATTCACAGCCATATCAATCTTCCCGTCTTTTAGAGGCGAGGTTAAGGTGTAGAGCATGAACTCTGAGCCCACCGTCACAGGCGTTGGCAAACCTGCCATGGCTGAGACTTTGGATTCGGCGGAGATGGACGGTTCTCGGTCACGAACCAGAGATGCTCGAAAGGAGTCCCCCGCACTGTGGTTGCTCCTGTAGCTGTACCGGCGACTGCGGTTGTGGTAGTAACGGTTGCGGTAATAGGATGAGCTGCGGGAAATGGGCGGCTTCATGAGTGAAGGTCGGCCTTTTGTGCGCAGCTGTCTGTGTTTTTCTATGAAGACGTGCACTGCAAGGACGCCCACCATCTCAGCCAGCACGAAGGAAAGAGCTCCAAAATAGAAGGACCATCCGTAGGAGTAGCTCTTCTTGTTGTCGCTCTGGCTGGGGTCACCTGAGTTGGCTGATATGTACACAATGATGCCAATGATGTTACTGAGACCTGGAGAAGAGTTCAGAGGGACGGAGAAGATCGTTTAAGCATGTACTTGTATGGCAACCTTCACAGATGACTCACAGGCTACTAATAAAACAACTGTAAACTACAAGTGAATAAATAAAACAAGACTCGAGAAGGCGACAAAAATTCAAGCAAAAAAAAACAAAGCAACAGCTTTAAAGTATTCAAAGAAGAATTTAAAGTGTATATTTAATTTTATCAACCTTCAAACAGCCCAAACATTTTTTTTCTAACCTGTAAAAAACAGTTTTTAAATGTACCTTGATGAACAATATTCTGTCATTTTACAGATTTTCCCTGTTTTGTTCAATTAAAGGTAATAATTGGTAAAATCACAAAAAAGCATTAATTAATTTACATATTAACCGAAAATAACCAGATCAAAACATCAAATATCTTTTTTTTTGTAGTTGTTTTTTTTTTTAGAAATGGTTATTATTTCTTTTACAACATTTGACTGTAAAATTACAATATTTTTTTACTGAATTTAAATGAGCCAAAATACTATTTTACAGACATTTGCTGTTTTTTTGGGGGGGAAACAACAAAAAGAAGTATATGAAGGACTGAAAAATAGTAAGTAATTTACAGATTTAGCCTGTTTTCTTAAATTACAGGTACTATCTAGTAAGATAACAATAGTCATTTGAATTTTAACGTTTAAAAAAAAAACAAACAGGTAAATAATCTACAGATCAAAAAATATGTATTTTTACAAAAGGAAGTTTGACCATACAATTACACAATTTTGTGGAAAATTGCAAATATTTTTCAACAGCTAAGATTGGGGGGAAAAAAGTAGAAAAAAAGGGAAAAAAAGTTTGTCTTTTTACAAAAAATTGTACATGTTAACTGACTTTTAAAAAACCGAAACTGTACATAATGTTCACCTTAAAAAAAACAATAGTGTTTGGACAAATAGTAATATCTCTTTCACGGTGCATGATGGTAAAATTACACTTCTACAGTATTTAAATCAGCTAAATGGATAAATAAACATCAGATATTTGCTGTTACTTATTTTTCCAGTTTTTAAATGTTACAGTATTACATTGTTTTTCAATCATATTTTTTCTGGCACCCCTGCTCCCAGAATTTCACCGTTTTTAGTGTTTTGAGCAGTGACCTGTGCGTCAGACAGCCTTGTGATTATGTTGGATGAACATACATGCTGTAGAGATCTGACCTGCAGAGACAAACAGAATTCCAGCGCTGAGAATGACATTGTAGCGCGACTTGTAGAACTCGCTGGCAGCTACACAGACACCTCCGAGAAACAACAACCCCACGCTGAGGATGGGGAAGAGGCTGGAGGCTCGTACTGCTCCTGATCAGAGGAGAGGAGAGGAGAGGAGAGGAGAGGAGAGGAGAGGAGAAGGAGAGGAGAGGTGGAGGAGAGGAGGAGGAGAGGAGGAGGAGAGGGAGGAGAGGCAGCGATGTGACGAGGAGGAGAGAGGAGAGGTGGAGGAGAGGGAGGAGGAGGAGAGGNAGGAGAGGAGAGGAGAGGAGAATATGACGTTTGACTTCCATCATAGTTGTCAGACCTCCCAGTCAAATGTACTGGTTTGTTACCCACGTAGTAAATACTCTGCAGCGTCCTGCTCGTAGTCTGCATCATCAGGAAAGTGATCAATGTCTTTGCAAACTCCCCGAAATGTCCCTGCAGAACAACAAACAGACAGAGAACTCGATTATAGTTCATCATTTAATAAGTCATTTAGCTCGGGGCGGCCTCATTGTCGTAACGCTCTGCTTTGTGTGTCATTTTATAACATGACATACATACAGTGTTCTTTCTAAAATCACAGTATCCTTGACCCAGTACATTTGCATACACTCACAGTGGTTTACATAATGCCAGATGCAATGCCTGCTGTCTGAGGGGATGGGTTCTGTTCAATTCTGTCTGCTTTTCATACAGTTCAGCTGCAAGCTTTAACAGGCAAACGCTTTATTTTAGATATTATGGATATGAGGGTGTCTTCCTCAGCCCAGAGAAGTCAAGAGGACCGAGGAAAGTTGTGATCTCTAACATCTTGTGTACACTACAGACACAAGAGAAGCTCTGGCTTGTTCTCAAGTTTGCTTATGGTAGATTTAAGTCACCGACTTATGTGACTGTTTAACATAAACCAAAGCCTATCTGTGACCTTTAATCCTGAATATATTGTAAACATGAGTTGTGAGCATTTACCAAAGACTTATTTTTCATCTTAAATTGTGTCATTTGTAAGATTTTAGACCTCAAGTGGTGAAAATGCTTATTAATGTAAATGTCAGATGAAAGCAGGGTAGTAGATATCAACTTCTTAAGCAAGTGTAAAGTGAATATTTTCTACATTGGGGCTTGTGTCATTTAGGAGAAGCACAAAATGTTGAAGCCTTAAACAACATCAAAGCACCATGTTTCAGCTTCTATAGAGCAGAAATGTCTTCACATGGTAATAATCCAATTATTGTCAGCAGTTAATAATGATAATAATAACAATAATGAATCCATCCATTTTCTATACACTACTTAATCCTCACTAAGGTCATGGGGGGCTGGAGTCTATCCCAGCTGACTTAGGGTGAAGACAGGGGACACCCTGGACAGGTCACCAGTCTGTCACAGGGCTACATTTAGAGACAGACAACCAAGCACACTCACATTCACACCTACAGACAATTTAACATGTTTTTGGACTGTGTGGGAGGAAGCCAGAGAACCCAGAGAGAACCCACGCTGCACGGGGAGAACATGCAAACTCCACGTAGAAACATCCCGAGTGCCCCCACCGGGACACAAACCGCCGACCTTCTTGCTGCAAGGCAACAGTGCCCCCAACAGTGCCACCTTGTAGCCCATAATAGTGAATGCATCACAATGACCACACCCTATGTTCTACATACAAACGGGCTGGTTTGTAAAGATTTATGTGCTTGTTTCTGTCAACAGTCCATTCTAGTTTAATGCTAAGCTAACTGCTCTGACCTAAATGTCATTTTAAATGAAGGTTTCTGGCATTTTCAGCTGAGTTACGTTAACATTTAGAAGAACTTGTGATTTTTTTCACTTCAGTTTCTGAATTCTTGCAGTGACTTTTTTCCACAAACATGACAAACAGCCTGCACAGGGAAAAGAGGGAAACAGAAAACACAGAGGAGTTCATCCTGCTGCTGCCTGAGGAGGAGCACCGAGCCTGAAACATGCTGCCGTCCAGAGCAGCTGCTGATCGTCGCCTCTTTAACATCCTCCATTCCACCTCATTTCTGTCCTGGCTGGAGGAGACGCTGTTTATTTCTAAAAATAAACACACGCAAGTTGAATGACAAAACGCCGCGTGGTGCATCAACCGACAGCCACGATCAGAACCTGTGAGGGCTCTGGTGAGTTTTAACGGGCCTGTGAAGATTTAAAGATCAGCTACACTCATGCTTCCTGTTTTCAGTGACCTTTGGCCCAGCAGTGCTTTTCAGCGTTTGCACACACGAGCTTTTATTGATAAATGTGTCCCCATGCGCTGCGCAGATTGACCGTTATTGATGGTGTGACTCGGTCGCCATGGTTACCAAAACAAAACTCATTCAATAAAGATACTACAACTCGGCCGCAGAGAACGGGTCAGAGCGGAAAGCGCGATACCGAGAAAACATTTATTCAGATCATTGTCTGGATACAAAGAGGGATGAGACGTGAAACTGAGGTTTCTGTTCTCGTTCCTCACAGGAATACGTTTGCCTCTGAGCACTTCCATCATGAATCATATTTTTCCACAGTTTTAGGACCATTAATCTGAATTCAGACTCTTGAATTTTGTTGTAGCTTGATGTTAAAACAATCAGCCCCACAGACTCTGAGAGATCCCAGGATAAACCTTGACAGTTGACTAAGTACAGCCGTCCTCAAATGTATTCATACCGTTAAAGAAAAAGCAAAATTCACAAAAGTCACTCAAATAACTAGAAACTGAAAAAAGTAATAATAAATAAAAATTTGCTAAATTATAATTTAGTGAAATAAGACGTTGTTTTTGATTTGTGGTTGAAAAGAATAATTTAAAAAAAATAAAATAAACTGTCCTGGACAAATTAGAGCACTTTGCTGATGAGCAGTGGGCCAAAATCCAAACACCTGTCAACAGGTGCAGAAGTCTGATGGAGAGTTACAGAAAACACTTGATTGCAGTGATTGGCTCAAAGGGTTGTTCAGCAAAATATTAGTTTATGGGTCCCATCATGCTTGTTTTCTTTTTGTTTGTTTGTTTGTAATATTTCTGTTAAACCACAATTTCATGATTTTCATTAAATCTTTATTTTTTATTACTTTTGTCAATTTCAACTTATTTCAGTGACACCTGTTATTTTCCTTCTTTAATGGGAGGGTGTGAATACATTTGAGGACGACTGTACATGCAGTCATATTAGACCTGTAATTTCTAGTCTTTCAACATATTTTAATCTATTAAGCGCCGTTCAAAATATCTTCCAAACTATAATTTTACAGTAAAATCATGAAAACTTCTAATAATGACACCATGTGAAAAAGAATCCAGAATATTATAAATAACGACATATTCCTGAAGAAAGCAGCCCTTATTCTAAAATTATTTATTGCACATAACAGCCTTCACATCTTCAGATCTTTCCGTCTGTCTGCCTGTCTGTGTTTTTTTAGAACGGGCACACACACACACACACACACACACGAAGCATTGATGTCATCTGCATGCTTTGTTGCTTCTCCATTAAAGCCTTTTAGAGCTTGGAGGTAGCGGGACAGCAGCAGAGGGAGGAGCTGAGACGAGCAGAAGGCTCAGAGCGAAGAGGACGAGGGAGAAATAAGAAGGCTGAACATTTTCTATTCATTCAGATTATTAGCAAAGCAAACAGAGGCTATAGGGTAAGAGAAGAGTGGTGCTGCTAAAGCGCAATAAATAATTGAAAATGCCATTTCCATCTATCACATATCCAGGACTTAATCTCCTCCCGATTCCTTTCTGAGATTCATCCTCATGAGTCTATCAAAATCTAATCATAAATGCATCCGAGATAAAATATGAGATGTGTTACAGGAAAGCACTTTTCCTCTGAAAGTCTCTGCACTTACCAGAACAGCTTTTCCTCAGGCACAGAAATAAAAACAAGGAGGAAGCCTCAGATGTATAATACTATTTACTACTGATTTTGTCTGCAAATGGCTAATTAAGGCCTGTTTTAGTGCAAACATCTAAAAAGCTTGTCAAAAAAACAACAACCTGGGCAGACTGTTGTGTCTATAGCTAATCCAGCTCCCCAGAGATTTTAGCTTTTTTTTATTTATTTTGATTTATTTCTCTAGGTTTGACCATCCACTGTAATTGCATTGTTATATTTTGGGTCAGTATTTTTATGAGCACTTGTGAAGCCACTTACGTCCCCAGATTTAAAAGGTGCTACAGAAATATTAGAAGGGCCTTTGTTTACTCACTACATTTACAAAAAGTTTCTTTAAAACTTTGTCTTTATCTCCTTTCTTGACAGTTCATCTCGTCTTGTTAAAACATTACATTCTATCTGCACTTAGGTCCTAAGCAGAAGTATTTCATATTTAATACTGTATTTTTTTAATCCGTTATTTATTCAGCAGCTTTACCAGTTACTTAACAAATGAAAAATGTAAATAGAAAACATGTGATGAGCTTTTAACGGATGATACGTGGAGATTAATGACATAGCTTTACATTACATAAGTTAAAAGTTGCTCCACCTCAATCATTTGCATTAAAGTGCTGCCTAAACATGAATCCATCAGTAATAATATTACAATGATATGATTTATAATAGCATCACATGCAGGCAGTAAGTGTTAGATACACTTAGCACAGTGTAAAAAAAATAAAGTTTTTAACTGTATTGTTTAAAACTATTTATTTATTTTAAACTGTCAATTATGTTCGCATCAAAAATCTGCTTTTTTACAAACAGTAATTTGTTCTGTTACAATGTGTGGCCATGAGATTTACTATTTTAGGATATTATAAATAAATAAATAAATAAATAATTGCCACTTTAAAAATATTTTTAATATTATATATAATAATATAATGTGATATTTTATCTGTTTTGTTAAATTACAGATACTATCTAATAAAAAAAGCAGAAAATAATACATTAAGTTATGTATGGATGTATTTATTGTAAAAATAATAAATAAATAATTGGGGTTAAAACTGTACATAATGATCACATCAAAATTCAAAAATAGTAATCTTTTCTAATTTTTTTTCTTTAATTCTATAAATGTTTACTGGGTTTTTTTGTATTTTTGTTGTCGTTCTTTATACAGTTTGTGGATACCAAAATATTTTTTTCTTTTTCTTTTTCTTTTTTACACTGTCCTGTATTTTTTTACTTTTTTTTTTTTTTTTTTACAGACATTTGCCATTATTTTGAAAAAACAAAGTTATACTGAGGATTGAACTCTTGGAATCTTTTTTTAAATTTTTTTTTATTAAGCTGGTATTTTACGGAACAACTAGTAAAAAAAAATATATATTTTTTTTTAAAAAGGACAGAAAAGGAAAAAGTATTAAAGTATCAATTTACATGTTAAAAAAAACAGGCCAGAAGTGCAAAAATAATGTCCACATCAAAAAAGCTGTACTATAAAAACGCAGTGTTTACTGTATTTAAATAAGCTAGAAATATCATTATTTTGCTGCTAGTTATTGTTGGTTTTTTAAGTTACAGTAATCCACTGTTTGTTAACGTAGTTGTTGTTTTTGTTTTTTTGGCACAGTTGCTGCCAGACTTCAACCATTTTTTCTTTTGTTGTTGTTGTTGTTTTGTTTTTTTTTACACTGCAGCATATTTTGAAGAATATTCCAAGCCAATACATATTAGACATTACTCTACAATGTGAGTGTGTTTCCCTGCAGGGTGTCTGCTGTGAGCCTGTGTGTGTCCCACCCTCAGTGCAGCAGGTCCTCCACAGACCAGAGTGGGTCAGGACCTCCTCGTTCTTGCGGACGGTCTCGTTGTCGTTGAGGTTCTTGGAGCGGCACATCCCGCGGGAGTACAGCCAGTAGTCGGTGCCCACGGCGATGGTCATGAGGCTGAAGGCGCAGAAAGCCCCCGCCGTGGTCAGCAGCATCATCACACCCCGGTTGCACAGCCTCATGTCGGCCCGACCCTCCCTCTGCTCCCCCGAGGAGTCCTCCGGCTTCAGAGGCGCTCACTAACTTTGTGTTTTATCTTCGGCTGGATCCAGTCGGCTGAAGGACGCTCGGATTTGGAGCGCATCTTCCGCAGCCTGCGCCAAACTCACCCAGCTCTCTGTCCGGACGGGTCAGTGCGTCTCCTGCGCCGCGGACGATGAACTTGTTCGGCAAAGTTGGGACGTTTCCATGTCAGAGCCACAGAGGAGGACCTTGTGTCAGTAGAACTAATGTAGAACCAGACAGGAACGTGGAAGCAGAGCCTCGGTCCAGTAGTTTGGAGAAAACAGCATCTGCATCGCTTCTCTGGACACTTGTGGTTTGTTGTAGCTCCAGTGTGTGTGTGTGTGTGTGTGTGTGTGTGGCTCAGTGTGCAGCTTAACTCCGCCTGCCTCCCTGTGTGTGTTCATGTGTGTGTCACTGGGCGTGCAGTGGGGGTCTGTGGTCACGCAAGACTGGTCATAGTGTTGTCAACCATCAGCAGCAGGGAGGGCACATCACCAGGAGGGCACATCACCAGGACACCAGGGGCTGAGGTCTGAGTAGATCCCCAGTCATCTGGGTGGTGGTGGTGGAGCAGCAGTGGAGGGTAACTGGACTTCTTTGTGGCTCTTGGCTCTATTTCTGACTGACTGGGGGTCCCGGTTAGGGTCAGTCCACAACCATTTAAACAGAATTCAGGAATAATGTTGCTGCACAGTCTCAGTATTTGTTCAGAATTTACTTGATTGTTATTTGGGTCCCAAAATTAAGCTCCGTAAAAATATTTTTGCAGATTTAAAAAAAAAAGAATTTCTCATGTTTTCAATACTTTTATTTCACCATCCCAAAAAACCAAAACAAAATAGTCTCCAGCAGACCAAAATGATTCCAACAGAGGCCATTCTTTAATTATTGGTCCTTAAAAATGGAAGAAAGTGCAAATGAGGGCGGTATTGGAAAGTTCCTGAAAGTGTCCTTATATGTGGACGGTACAGTCCATATGTGACCCATCTGAACGAAATCATTGACGGTATTTGACAGCGATATGTTACCTACATGTAGAAAACAACTAAATGGACTGATCTAGGTAATAAACCCAAAATCAATATTTGATCGTGTATTAACGTCATTCGGGCTGTATCTCAGATATAGCCCGAGGCCCAATGCGACTGATTTTGTGCAGATGGGTCACATATAAAAAGACAGGTTGGCATTTCACCAGCTTTTGAGGCCTTTGTCTGTGTGATGACCAACATTCATGGCTGCAGGAGTTATATTTCTGGAGATACTGTAACCCTTAAAAATGGCTCCCAACGGTTCTTTGAGGGTGAAAATACTAAAATTCCCAGATCTGAAAACATATGAAATTGTCAAAATCAGGCAAAATGTTATTACAGAGCTCGGTTTTGGGTCCCAAATAACAAATAGATCAACTCTGGTGAACTGAGGTCACTGTTTGTACTTTCACTCTACCACAGACTGATACAGATATCGATTTTCAAACCTAAATCACGTGGTTCAGTGCTCCCTAGTGACCCTAGACTCAAGTAACTAAAGGTGTTAATGGTGGAAAAACTACCTGTAATGGGATATCAAGACTGCATTATAAGTACCTGAAAACTGATGGAGTTCACCTGCATTCAAAGGATAAGAGACACTTCTCTGAGGAGAGCAATGTCTAGAATCTGGACAGAGAAGACCAATGGTTGGAGTTAAGGAAGCCAGTCAATGTTAAACTGGAACCAACATCTCTAAACAGAAGAGAAGATGATTTACCAGGTACTCACAATGCAGTCTTGAGTTCCCTCCCCAGGCAGTTTCACCACCATTGACACTTTGAGATTTGGGGGGGTGAGAGTAAATAACTTGGACTCCAAATCAGTCAGTTAGATCTGAGGACGCCTCTTGGATGAAGGTGGAAATAAAAAAAATGAACGTCCAGTTACTCTGTGATATAAGATCATTAGTTTGCTGTAAAAATACATGAACCTAAATCTCACAGTTCAGGTGCTTAAAAGACAACTTCTCATCTGTTCAAGTCTGTTTTAAGACAGTTATCAGGTTTCTATGAACACTGCAGAAGGTTTTTCCTTGTTGTAACCAGTCGGCCTGTTCACTGACCATTTAAAGATATTTTTAAAATAAACAGTATATGTAAAAAAAAAAAAATCCACACATACCATTCTGTGCACAGTCATTCCAGAGTTAATTGCACACGATAGGATGCTTAAACAAACCGAGTGGTGCAGCCAAAGTTTTAATCTTTTTCCTTTTCGTTAATATTCTTCCAGGTCAGCTCAACAGGGAAACGCACACTGAGACGGAAACAAAATGGAGGAATTTTATTTTGTACGTTGTTCGCTTTTGAATCTTGTCGGTTAGAACTGGATGAACAACCTGACCTGCAACTTTGCACACAATATCCAGCTGTCTTCCTTTAAAGCTTTTTGCATGATTTAATAAAAGACGAGACAAAAACGACGACAGCAGCACCTTCCTGTCACCTCCACCTGCTCCCAGTGAGGATTTGAAAGTAGATCTGAAAGCTTCAAGCTCCACTGCATGTGTTCTGTCTGTTTTTAAATAACTCTTTTCAAGACTTTGGTTGTTCGTAACTGTCCGACTTTTGCAGAATTTTGTATGTTAATCGGGTTGATAAAATATTATCCTCAAACATTTTGAACGCTTTAAATGACATACAGCCAGAGGCATTCTTTTCTGTGTGGCTAATATTTACTCATTACACGTCCTTCAAATTAATATCCTCATTAGGATTCAGCCCACCAGGAAATGGCATGAATGAATAAAAGAATAAATGAGAATATGAATATTTCATGGTTTGGAAAGTGAGTGGGCATGTGTGTGCAGAGGTAAAAGCAATCAACCTATGAGCCAATGAGGTTCCTTATGCTAAAATAATTTAAAAGCCCTATCATTGGCATTTGATTGTGCAGCATTGCAGTGAATAGCACATATAGTGTTTAAAGTGCTTTTCATTCATGCACCTGTCTGTCCGATCCGTATCTGAAAAAAGATAAATATTTGAAATGTCTTCATAATCTGTGAAAAATATTCAGCCTTCATGAAAGTAATTGAATCCTGGTCGGTATAATTTAACTTTTTTTTTGCGAAAATGTAGGTGATTTAAGTGATTGCGTAAGTATTCACCCACTTCAATACACTTTGGCCGCAATTACAACATTGAGCCTTTGTGGATAGGTCTCAGGTGGCCCACTGCAATTTTATCTTCCCGGCAAAATTGCTCAAGCTCTGTCAGGTTTCATGGGAATCATGAGTGAACAGTCCAGCGACAAATTGAATTGAGGTGTGGGCTCTGACTCGGCCACTCTACAACATTTGCGTTGTTGTCTTTAAACCATCTCTGTGCAGTCTGTAGACAATGACCCAAAGCTGTATGCTCTTCCCAAGGCACAGTTCTTTTGCAGACTGCATCAGCTTGTCCTTCAGAATTTCCTTATACTTTGCTTTATTCATTTTGCCCTCTACTGTAACAAACTGTCAGAGGCCTGCAATTGAGAAGCACAATCATGATGCTGCCACCACCATGCTTCACAGGAGAGATTGTGCCCTGTTTGTTTTTAAATCTCGTGCCCCAAGAGGTAAAATTTGATACCATCAAACCAAAGACCCCTCTTCCAGGAGATTTAATTCAACAGTAGCTTTCCCTTTGCCACTCCCCCAAAAAGTTATGACTGGTAAAGAACAGTTACTGTATTTACAGTCTCTTCTACTGAGCCACTGAAGTCTGTAATGCCTTCAGAGGAGTCATAGGTGTCTTGATGGCCTCCCTTACTAGTGTCGTTCATGCACAGCCACTCGGTTTTTGAAGACATGTTGCTCTCGGTAGATTTGTGCATGTGCTGTTTTTCTCCCATTTCTGATGATGATAAATGATGGATTTAACTCCACTCCACAGATCATTCATTAACTTGTGCTTTTCAACAACCTTGTCACTGAGTTGCTTGGAGTGTTCTTTTGTCTTCACCTGTGACTGGACCTTCTAAATACAGATGTCTTTACACTACAGTTACTTGAGATACATTCACTACACTCAAATAATCTCAATTTCACTAATTGTGTGACTTCTATCACCATTTAGCTGCACTGATGTTGGATTTGGTGACTCACTTCCAAGGGAGGTGAATACTTTACTTACAGTTGTGTTCAAAATAATAGCCGTGTTTTTTAAAAACATGAGTAAAGCTCAAAATCCTGATCATGTTTTTATTTCCATTCATTAGGAACACTGCATATTATATTTTACATCAAAACACGAAGAAAAAAATGATCAATATTTTAATTACTTTACAGAAAATGAACTCCTGGCACCTGCAAATAGGTGTTCCAGCCCAGGATGATTTGACAACCTTCCACAGTTCCTCTGCATTTCTTGGTTTTGCCTCAGACACAGCATTTTTGATGTCACCCCACAAGTTTTCTATTGGATTAAGATCCAGGGATTGGGCTGGCCACTCCATAACCTTGATTTTGTTGGTCGGAACCAAGATGCTGCTACGTTACTGGTGTGTTTGGGGTCGTTGTCTTGTTGAAACACCCATTTCAAGGGCATTTCCTCTTCAGCATAAGGCAGCACCACCTCTTGAAGTATTTTGACATAAGCAAATTGATCCATGATCACCGGTATGTGATAAACAAGCCCGACACCATAGTAGGAGAAGCAGCCCCATATCATGATGTCGCACCACCATGCTTCACGGTCTTCACAGTGTACTGTGGCTTGGATTCAGTGTTTGGGGGTCATCTGACAAACTGTCTGCGGCCCTTGGACCCAAAAAGAACAATCTTACTTTATTGGTCCACAAAATGTTTCTCCACTTCTCTTTAGGCCAGTCGATATGTTCTTTGGCAAATTGTATTCTCTCTCTCTTTTTTTTTTTAACAGTGGGACTTTGCGGGGGGCTTCTTGCCGATAGATTAGCCTCACACAGTACTCACAGGT